CTCTCTCTCTCTCTCTCTCTTCCTTAGCCTCTACGGCTCGCGCCTCTCAGTGGTCTTTCCGACGGCTTGCGTGGGAGCGCAGACAGAGACGTTCCGGAGGTCGCAGAAGACGAAGTCCTTGCTTGTGCATGTGCTTAAAGTCTTCGAACTTGAAGTGACGCTACTCTGCTACCAAAGCTTCGGAAGAGTCGGGGGCTTGCGTGAGCTGCTTTAAGGCCGCAGACACGCCTGGAAGAGCCGCCGCCCTCGAAAAAGGGTGAAAGCGGCAAAAAATCCCCTTGAGACCCGCCGGCCGGGCCCCCTTCGACGCGCCTTCCTTTGGCCAAGCGCTTCGCATAGTCGAAAGTCACGTGCTGCTTGGCGGTGCCACTCGCGGCATCGTGATGCTGCGCAACTCCCATTGCCTGCAGCCGTGGCTACCAGTAGCAGCGGCAAGAAAGCTCAGCGCAGCTCAGACCGTGCGAGCGCGCTGGTGCGGCACAGCCTCGGCCAAGGCGTTCAAGCCTTCCATTTGGGAGGCGGGCTGGTTGCTGATCACGCTGATCTGCTTCGCCACCTGCACCGCTTTTTGAACCCCTGCTTCCTTCACCCCCCTGCTTAAGTTCCTCCCCGTATTACTACCCGTCCCTGCCAGTGGCCTGGAAGAAGGCGCTGGTGTCTCGGATGTATCGCTTGAGCGTCGGACGGGATGTGAAATAACCCGTCCAGAACTGATGGGGGCCATCCGCGTAAGGGAAGAAGTCGTCCTCCTGCCATGACAAGCGCTGCTCTGGCCGTCTCAACGCCTCCCTCCCGCCTTCATGGGCCAAGTGATCTTTTCGCTTTTCTTGGCATCGACATACATTCCAGGGGTCGAATAGAACGCGTGCACACGACCATCCGCGTTCACATGGCGTATCAGCTTGTCCAGGTTGTAGAACCACGTGAAAGCATCCTGCAGAGGCGCTTAGCAAACGAAGGAGCACGGACTGCGACTGCCTCTACTTCAGGAACTTCTGACTTGAACGGGTCCTCGTACTGGAAATCAGAGCCCATTGTCATCATGATGTGACGGCCGCGGGTTTGATTTGCCTGAACCATTGCAACAGCTACGAAGTCGTCCACCCGCGACTTCACGTTGTAATCCTAAGCGAAGCACTTGAGACCACTGGGTTCCAAGGCAGTCAGGCGGATGCACAAAATCCACAGTAACTTGAAGCAGGCGTCCTCCAGAGCAGGGTCGTCCTGCAAAGTGCAACAAGCGCTTCAGCGCTCACCAACTACACTCATCCTGACCTTGCAGAGACTTCTGCCTCCGACTACGGGGAACCTAGCAAAACCTCATTTCTGCTAACATCTTGCCGGGTACAGCTCAACTGCCGCTTCTATCGTCGACATGCTGTTGGTTGTTGACACAGGAATTTTCACGTGTGTCTGTGTGTGTGTTTGTGTGTGTGTGTGGGAGTGTAGCAAGAGAACATGGCAGTCCCTAGTGCCTAGTGACTGCGGCGCGTAAGGGGAAAGTGGAGGCGGACATCGGGAAGTGGCGTGGTCGATGGCCATCGAAGCACGTAATTCCCGGTTACATCCTGACTGCACTTGAATCCGATATGGTTCAGTTAGATGGTGGACTCATCGCGAAGCAGCTTCCACAGCACATGCCTCGCTATGTTTGGGCTGAAGCACGAGGCCTGCGCATTACACCATGCTAGCACACTTCCTCCGGTACCACTCAGGAAAAACTGAGGACCTACTCAGGATTTCAATTAAAGTCGAACTCGGCAATCTATGTGTATGTCGCTATTTGCGTGAGGCGGCAGCAGAGATCAGCAGAGTCGTCCTGGATTGTCTCGTCCGAGCTAGTCACATCCCAGTCAAAGCCAGCTGGTGGGCCATAATTTCCTCCATACTCGCCTGCCCAAGGGGACGTGCTACATCACGAGTCAGTCGAGCTTCGAATCACGGCAGGGGCAAGGAGCCTGTGAGGCCTGTGAAGACCTGCGCATCTGCACCGAGGGATGGAGAAGCCCGCCAGATGAACTCTGCCTCCTTCTTCTCCCGTCGCAATTCGAGGTCCTCTTGGTTCGACAGACGACGAAGGAACCGAGAGAGAGAGAGAGGCAGAGTGAACAGCACATCCCCTTCCTGGTAATCAATGCGGCCGAAGAAGAGCCCTTGGAAGCCCACTTCAGCGGAGAGGAGTGCAGCCTGCGTCGACGAGTGCCCAAAAGGATCCAGCTGCCAGCCAGTCCTGTCGAGTACCGTCGACCCAACGAAGAAACACAATGCGAGCATCTTCTTGGCAACCAGGATTCCGAGGAGCAGCGCCCAACTCTTCCATGAGGAACTTGTGCCCCAAGGTTGTCTGGTCAATCATGTCCTGTGCGGCCAAAGAGCACGTCGTTGCTGCATGAAGGCAGGCCAACATCCAGCTCAGTCAAGTCTGTATGCCAGGCAAGCAGCCAGGAAGTGGGTCGCTGCTTCATCATGCATACACCAGCCACCGTTGCTGAACTCCAACCTTGCCCAACCACTAGGCACTGCAGAACACTTTCTGGCCAGAACTTGGGATGCAGTCAAGCCGCTGCCCGGAGCTGACAAGGCGCCTCACCAGCTGCCGGGTAGAGTTATCCTGCTGCCTCCACCATCGGGCGAAGAAAGCCTCACGTGTGGCGCATCCACAATTGATTTAAGACACAAACAACAATATATCGCAAAACTTCAGGCCCTTTCATCAAACTTAAACTTCCAATCGAATGCCAGGAGAACCGTCTCGACGTAGGTGAACTTCCGGTCCGGGTTCTGCTCCAAACAGCGAACCACCGTGTCCAGGATCAGGCGCACATAAGCGCGCCTCCAGACGCTGACAGCTGCGCTTGAGAAGTCACATCGAGCAGTTCTTGAAAAGACTCAAGCCAGGGGACTGAATGGAGTTGTTCTGGCCCGTGAAGTATTCATCAACGGTTTTCAGCCAGCCCACATCATCGTGTGTGTGGGGGACAATGTGCACCTGACGGTTCGGGCAGAAAGCAGTACTTCGCGGTCCAAGTTCAGTCTACTTCTGGGCACCTCTACAGCAGGTTCAGCCTGCACAGCCAGTGCACTGCAGAGCACCAAAGCCCACTGCATCCTGCACACCGTACCACAGGGCACAAATCTGCGGGTTGACTATGGGGCTCCTGGCAATACTGTGTACAGCCATTCAGCGCTCAAGCATCTATATGCTTGAGCCCAATGGGCTGCAGTCCGTCGTGTGGCGCTGCACGTCTCAAGGATTTCAGAGCCTATCAGCAACGCATGGGCAAGAGAAGCGTGCAGACTGGCAGAGCCTCAGCATGGAACGCCATGAATCGATCCATAAATCGCAAATTGAAGCCTCGGCGACTCAGCACATGCTGCTTGCCGGAGGTAAGCGGGTGCCCAGAAGCGGGCTATCAACATCTTGAAATGTTTGTCCACCGACGACACGCTGCTTAGCCTGTACCAGGCTGGTCAGAAGCACCATGCATCGAGCTAGACAGCCGCACCGGAGCAGCGCTTCTCATGGCAACTAAACTGATCGACTTGACCGCATGAGGCCTCTCGAAGGACGAAATAGGTTTCGAACATGTTCCTGATCTCAACATTACGACACTGCAGCATCGTCAAGTGAATAGGGAACTGCAAAATGCATCAAAGTCGCGCATATCGCATTATCGACAACTGCCTGGCTTGCACGTGGCAGTCCCCCGCTCGTTAAAACACCGGCACCTTCTTGCTGTGCTTCGCCCCATTTATAGCCATGGTTGATGTGGCGCAATGCTGCAGATACATGTCAGGAGCACATTGGCTGCGGCTCCCAAACAGGCTCGAAAATGAGGCTCTGCTCCGGCCACCTCTAAGGGAAGTACAAGAAGGTGGCCCCCTTTGATCAGGCTGCAAGGATCCTGAGGGCCGCTACCTGCGAGCCGCAACCGCCTGGGCACAGCAAAGCAAGGCTCCCAAATCCAAAAATCCCAAAAATCCCAACTCCCTGCTTGGCGCAGATCGGCAGCATGGCGTGCGAACCCAGACGGCAACCTGTGCAACTCTGCGTACGACAGAATGACATATAGGACGCTGGGGTACGGATCAACGACGTCGAGACTCCAATTGCTCCAGGCCTGCTTTGTCGCAGCACTCTCAAGGTCCCGGCGGCCAGCATAGCACATGTCAAAGCCGTCCGTCTCTGTGTTAGTTCAAGTTTGGAAGTGAGCTAGGCTGGGCTGCCAGGCTTCACCAAGTTTCTGCATGCCATGCTGACAAGTTCCCATACTAAGGGCCCTTGCATGACGATAGGAGCGCAGTCTTGAATCCAAAGTGCATTCCGACTCTGAACACCGTCGCAGATGTGGTGAGAAGGTCAGCTCCATCACATTACATCGCACTGCCTCCAACTCCTTTGCCAAAGAATCTGCTCGCGCCGCCTGTCGAAACTTGAAAGGGCGAAGGTCTTTTGCTCTCAGAGCTCCGCCGCGGCGCCTCGGTGGCTCTGGCGCTCTGCATCTCCTGGCATTTCATGGCATTTTGCAAGCGACGGCAACAAGGGGGGCTCCGGGTGGCTTGGCCCTAAGGCCTCGAGGTTGGCGGACTTTGCGGCCGCAAGGCGCTCGGCGGACTGCATGCGCTCTAGTGCCTCTGCAACAACGGTAAACTTGGCTTGCAAGATAGAATCGAAAGAGCTGACGAGCCAGGGTGGCCATGTCTCGGTCCTCAGGTGGTTACATTCGACAACAATCCGATAAACGATCTCTGACTCTCCGAATTTATCCTGGACAAGGATCGGATTCCAGTTCCTGGCATACTCGCGACAGTCGCTCGCACCTCGCATCCCATGCTGACTCCACTCCGCCATCACTTGGCCACTTGGTCTGCATTGACCCGTTGTTGTTCCAATGGCGTATGGATCCGTCCACGGGCTTTGGCTAGCAAGCTCGCAATCTTGACTGACAATCTTCGACAGCAAGACTGCTGCGCCTTCTACACAAAGTAAGTCTACCTTGATTTTGGTCTGTGCCAACTTCACCGATCACAAACCTGCCCGTCTGGGCCGCTTGCTCCGCCCCATCTGCCTGTACAGCACTAGAGCATGACAGTGCAAAGGAATGCCTGTGATGCGCCTTTCGCTCTGCACGCGACTTTTCCAGGACATCGTCCAGATCATCGCGGGCCCTGCGAAGCAAGGGATGCTACGGTGAAGCAGTGCGGTCGGGGTTAACTCCACCTTCGGAGATCCTGAAGCTCTGTTTCGAGGCCTGGGCTACGGGAGATTTCGCGAGCGGATGCTTTTGGGCAATCGGCTCATGAGTCACCAGCTCTGCCGCTGCTGACGCTCTTGCTCCAGCTCCTGCCACAATCTGTCCCTTCCGTCAGAGGCGCTCGCTCCGCAGGCTCGGGATGCCTCTTGTAGCTCCGAGCGCTGGTCTCCGTCCGCCTTGGCCTCGGCTCCGAGAAAAGCCCGTGGGCCTGAGCCCAGGCAGAGAGCCGAGGCAGAGCCGAGGCGGGCACCAGCTGCTCCTGGCCGCTTGGCACACAGAAACACGCAAAGGCCCCCACCCTCCTCCACCGCCTCCAGAGCATCGTTTCGGGCAGTCAGCTCGCGCACCTCTGAAAGCCTCCCATGGAAAATCACGCCGGCGCCCACAAACTCCCAAGGAGCAAGCATGCCAACGTCGCAACTTCTCGTTCTGGGCACGCTCATCAGCAAGCGACCTCTACCCCGTCGGGCAAAGACCGTTCTACAGCACGAAGATGAATGCGATGCTGGCTATTGACGAGATTCCCACCCAGATGCTGCATCTGCCGCGACAGGACTCGTCACCGCTTCTTGCCTCGATCCCGATGCAGCTTAAATTTAAACTCGGGCAGATGCACCGGTAGTCGAACGAAAGGCACGGGGGCGTCGTTCAAGGCCATGGCAGAGCAGCGATTTTTGCCTGGTGAAGCAGGGAACTGTCTTTCTTGAACTCGCTGGGCGCACCGTGGGTGTGCAGCCTCCAAGTCCGCTTTGGAGCTGAGGGCCTCTCATAGAGCAGTTAGAGGCAAAGTGGCAAGGCAGCTTCAACCTGTCCTGCTCAAGTTCTTCTTTTGCTGACTGTGCCTTCTTCAGCCTGTCAACAGCGATTCGGTCTGCGAATCTATAACACCCTGCGAAGCACAGAGCAATGCTGCCACCAAGGGCAGAGCTCAGACTCGTGCCGCTCCTGCAACAGAGAAGAAGAGCGAACGCTTCTTCAGTAAATAAGAGAACCTGACATGGAAGATCTTTGAAGGGAGCCTGCAGATCTTGTAGTGCAGCTCTCAGGTCTTCACCTCTGGCAGCCTGCAGCAAGGGCTCTTGCCGTTGCCGCGGGCTTTTCGTCTGGATGCCTCCAGCTCCGATTTCAGGCTGTTAACCTGTTCCTCCAGCTCAACCTGCGCAGGTGTTCTCCGCAGTGTGCAAACGAACATTCCCATGTCGGGTACGGCCAATGGTGCAAACCCTCAAAAAGGATGCAAAGGTATCTGGCGTAGATCTTCTGAACAGGAACATATGCAACGCACATACTTACATACTTGCATACGTACGTGCATATGCACGTACGCATGTACATACATACATACATACATACATACATACATACATACATACATACATACATACATACATACGCAGGTACATATGCGCGTACGTACGTACGTACATACATACATACATACGTACGTACGTACATATGCAAGTGCGTTCATACATACATACATACATACATACATACATACATACATACTTACTTACTTACTTACATGCATACATACATACATACATACATACATACGTATGTATATATATATACACACACACATACATGTACAGTATACACTATTTATGGATGTGTGCGTGTGCAGATATAATTCTCAGCTGAGGCCTTCCCAAGCTGCTAGTTCTGTGCATATGTGTGCTTCGCTTTGGAACTTGTCGTGAGCCGCAGGCCAACAGGCGTGACTCGGGCAAGCATGTAGATTTGGCAGTTCTCGGTGGCCTTAGCTTCGGTGACTGCATCGAGTTCGTCCTGGGCTCCCCAAGACAGGAGACAACAAACCTGGCACTGCAAAGCCGTGACGAGTTCAGACATCTTCTCCGACGTGACGTGGGTGTCGAAGTCCCTGCTGGACTGGAGATGGCTACGAAGCACGCTCGAGTCCTCGAGATCACCCAGCTTCTTGCGCAAGGCCTCCCACACATGATGCTCGCAGAGCGCAAGCGAGATGCGAGTGAGTAAGGGGCCTTCAAAGTGGCATCGGCCATCGAGATCGAGGGGCTGAGAGGGGCTCGAAGCAGTGTTAAAGGGGTGAGGAAGGCAAGGCTTGCTTTGCTGGGGGTCTTCAGGGATCGTTGATGGATTCTGTTGCTTGAGCCCCAGGACAAGGCCACGATGGTCTTGTGCAGCAGGGCAAAGCCTCGCCTTCCCCCGCCCCCTTGCTCCATACCAAACAAGAAAACAGAGGAGAGGGGGGAGGGCGGAGGGCCTGGCTCTCGTTAAAGACTGGCTGCCGATCCTTTTGCCGTATCAGTGCGAGAATTCGTGTCTGCTCGTTGGGTCGTATCGGTGCGTGTCCCAACGTCAGTGACTCCAAGGCGAGTCGACGAGCCAGAAGAGAGTCATTGCACCTCTGGCATGCTTTCTCCGAGATTACATTCGGAAGTCCACACATTGGTATCCTGGATACAGCTCTTGAGAAAAAGATCTTGAGATGCAAACCAATGGTAACAACCTTGGAGTGAAAAGAACAAATGCAGAGAGCTGCATTGATGGTGTCATGCCGTCCCTGCCTCCGCGGCTAGCTTGCGACCCCAGCTTGGCTTCGAGCACCCCTTGCTCCCTACAACACTGGAACAGACAAGCACAAAAAGCACGGGATGCTGCACCACCATCTTACATGCAAGGAGCTCCACTCCCAAAATTGGGATGCGGCTTGAACCGCCCCCGCGGCAAGGAATGCAAAGAAAAATCTCACATCATCTTCAGGCCATGTGTGCACTTCACACACTGGGCCCGGGCGAGCTGGAGGAGGCCCCGATTGCGTAGGCTTTCGGTGGCGAGTGCTGCTTGACGTCCATGCCGACCTCTTCTGTGTACTCGTCGATGCGAAGCAGTCCGGTCATCTTGAGGGCGAAGAAAGCCAAACCCGACAGGGCTCCAGCCCACAGAATGATCACGAGGACCATGATGAGCTGTGCAGCAATGGCGGTGCCACCGATGCCGGTCATGCATGACGAGTCGGTGTCGCTCACTGGCTTGCAACCAAAGCCTGACCAGCCATGGTAGTGGTCAACGCCCTTGCCCCAGTCAAAGAGTCCGGCTGCCAGCGCACCCCAGATGCCACAGAAGCCGTGCACTGGGCTGGCATCCACGGGGTCGTCGATCTTCAGCTTCTGCAAGAGCATGGACGAGCCCTGGTACACGAAGGCACCAATCAGGCCGATGGCGAAGGCACTGCCGCACTCCACGTTGCCGCAGCCCGCTGTGATGGACACGAGGCCTGCCAGGATACCATTGCAGAGGCCACCCACATCGTACTTCCTCATGATGGCGTATCTCAGAATGAAGACTGTGATGCCGCCGGTGGCGGCGGACAGGGTGGTGTTCATGGCCACTTGTGCCGCCATCGCCCCGGTGTCTCCCGTGTGCATGCCAAGTGTGGAGCCCGGGTTGAAGCCATACCATCCGAACCAGAGCGCAAAGGTGCCCAGCACCACCAGGGGCAAGTTGTGGCACTCGAACTCCTCGGGGTTCTCGAAACGACCCTTGCGTGGGCCGAGCACGACAGTGCCTGCCAGAGCACTCACGCCACCGGTCAAGTGCACGATGGCGCTGCCCGCGAAATCCATGTAGCCTGAGTAGCAATTCTACAGCTGAAACGGCTCGGTTCACGCCCTCTTCTCAGTCTCAGTTTCAGCGTTTCTGGATTATCGTGCGGCTAAGTTCCGGGACAAGGCCCAAGCTGTCAAGACTTAAGACTTCCCAAATTGCAACAAGCAGTCGAACCACAGACGTCAAACAACACGTGCCATCCGTCCGCAACAGACTGAAATCATCGCCATACCGCTGAGCAGGCACAGACGATAGCAGGAAAGACAGCAACTAAATACGTGCGAAACACATCGGAAGAACAACCGAAATAGGCAAAAACGACAACACCCCAAATAATGGACGATACAAGTAGATCTATGGCCAACATGTTGTTTTGTAGTTGCTTGCGGCTGGAATCTCGCTAGGCCACGACATTATGGAGCTGTGCTGGGGCCTCGAATTTAAAATGGCATGATGTGGAACTTCGGGGAAGCTGCACGGCTACACGACTGCGAATCACAACTTTTCACGCCACTTCGAAACCAAATGCGTCTGCATCAGGTCGGCTCTTCTGCTATATCTGGATATGATGAGAAACTTGAAACAAGTTCCCCAGCATACTGCCGTCGGCAGGCCTGTTCTGAGATGCGAAAGCTCACCATGTGACGGGTCAAACCCATGTACACATGGCAGGGGCAACTGGGGCCTGGTTTCGGCGCACGCCTCCGCGCTTCTCTTTCCCTCGCGTGATGTTTTTGTCTCCCCTGGTTCACGCTTTTGACGCCTCTTTGCGCCTCTTTTCCGAGACGCTTGGTTTTCTCGCTCCACAGGGTCACGCTCCTTTAAGCCTGTGTAAGCCTCGTTTCCCAAATGTTTCTTTCGCTCTCTCTCTCTCTCTCTCTCCCGGGCGTAGGGGCCGATCAATCTCTCTCCCTCTCTCTCTCTCTCTCTCTCTCTTTCTCTCTGCACGGAATCACTCGTTTTAACGCCGCTTTCCCCAAATGTTTCTTTCTCTCTCCGTGCCGTCACGGGTGCCTGAATTCAAGCCTTGCACCTGGATTTCGTTTCATGCCAAATTGTCTCTCTCCCCGGGTGACCCCATAGTGAGGCCCGGCGGCAAGGGCACGAGCAACGTACTCAGCACAGCTTTCGCAGGGCGAAACGAAATCCATTGGATTTGAAGCGACTCCATTCCGCCTTTTTAGCCACTTCTCCGGCTAAGCAAACTAGCCTTCACGGCCGCTAGCCCTGGTGAGGTCTGCGGCTAACCCTTTGTCAACGCGCAGTCCCATAATAACTGTGCGTTTGTACCCTTTTCTGCTGAAATTCCAGCCATCATGCACCCGATTGCTTGCTCCATGCTTTCCGCCCACACACGAGCAGCGGAGGCCGGGTTAAGAGAAGCTTTTTTCCCAAGTTTCACCGTCGCAGAAGCGCTGCTCAATAGCAATCTGCATGACGACGGTTTCAGGGGCAGTGGGAGTCTTAGCCGCTTTCTTGATACGACTCGGCTTCATGCTGATGTCACATGGCTCCGTGACACGATCCACGATAAGCATGCGCGGCTTGGCCGAGCCACCGACCTTGACAGGAGCAATCAGCTCTTGTTGCGCCGCTCCAGAAGCGTGAACGTCCTTGCAGGCCGTGGGACAAGCACTTGAAGATCAAGCGTCTTGTCCTCACGGGTTTCTTCCGTGATTGCGCGCACCAACTGAAGCTTATCTTCATCGTTGGCAAGCACGCAGCATGAATCTCTTCATCAGGCAATGCGTCAATGCAGTCTGACAGCTCCTTGACGGTAAGCGGTGCAGTCCAATCGTCAGGTCGCATGGACCACTGTTGGCCGCTGGCGTGGATGCTGGCGTCACGTGTTTATACCAACATGCCTCACGATGTTTGCAGATCGCATTGGCAAAAGTACCAACTAAGGAGGGGTCCAGGTTTTTTTGGGTATTTTTTTGGTTTTTTCTGGGTATTTT